CAAAAATAAGATGAGCACTTATTTTTGGTCTCTTCATAATAGTAAAGATTTTCATGACAGGAAAATAACATCACAGCATCAAAACTCTGCCCCAGTGAATGTTGTCATAGGCAAGGGCATGCTCCATCATGACTTCCAGATTTCCTACAAAAGCTTTTTATTTTATTAAAGTAGTACTTTTTCCTCAATAAGTGTCTGTACTTTCCCTAAACCCATCCTTTTAATCTTGCCTAAATTGGAGATAGACTGAACTAAACTGAAAGAGGAATATGAAGATTAATTTCTCAACAAATACTACTCTTCCCAAGTTACTCAAGTGCATTATATAACCACTACAAAAATATTAAGTGCTTTTCTACACAGCATGACACCATTCAGGCTTTCAAGACTTCTTTTATATTCACAAGCAAAATACACATTTTCAAGTTACAAAATAGATTTTTGTTGTTGCTGTTGTTTTTAATATTCATACTCTGTTAACATGTTAAGCTCTAAGCTCCAGCATAAGGGGCTGTCTGTGGAATTCTCCTCTTGTTTCCATTCTGGGAGACTCCTCCTGAGCCCCTGGTACCACCACACTGGTCCCTGAGCAGTGTGCCAGGGAACCAGAGGAGAACTCAGAACTGGACCTGCCGCACTCAAGTTTCACATACCATTTATATTTACCTCATTTCAGACTGTATGTATTTGTTTCTGAAAGAAGAAAAGATGATCATGAAATAGAGGTGTGAAAATTTAGATAGCAGCTAATTAGTTTTAGTAAGACTGTTACAGAGTATAATGGATTTTCAGTTTTCTCTATTCTTTATCCTCTGACTTAAGGCAATTATATGACAGTGCTGGTAGAACAAGTTATTGTTCATAATTTCACAACATAGACTACACGCTTAAGCCCACAACCAATTAATTGAATTTATATGAAAATGTTTATTCAATTTCAATTGGATTGAGCTATATTGCAGCCAGTATTGAATTAACTAAAGTAGTGGCTTTTCAGTTTCATTGTTTTATTACAAGCAGGGTATACATTGCTGCATATTTCTTCCACTTCCTACAAATAAAAGGAAAACATGCCTCTTGCTCCAGATAGCTTACAGTCAACTCATAAAGCAGATAATTTTGGAGGGGAATGTGGGAATAATATCAGTATTCTCCACACTGACTTAGGCTGAAGACCAGAAGAGCGACCCTTGAAATCTCCATCCCACTAAAAAATGACTCTTACTCTAGCTCAGTGGTTATAGCTGCAGCAGTTACCCTTTTCTTCCTACATAAAGGCTTCTTCCCTATGTAAATACTTCTTGTTTCACTCCTGGCATAGGGTTGCTCTGGCAGTGCTACATAAAGCATAGCTACAGCAACTGCCTAACCAGGAAGGATGTTTCTGCAGGTCTGCTATGCAGCTTTTGAGGCATGAGGTGCCAGGGCAGATGATGGCACAGTGAATAAAAGGAGAACAATTTGAAAGTGATTCTCTCCAAAGCATAAAAGTCCTTAACACAACTGTGTTTTCTGCAAATACTGTGTTCTACTCTCTATTTGAACTTGGAGTACAGGAGTATGCACTATCTTCATCCTTCAGCTAGTAAAAAATTAAGATCCACCTTTTCTAACTCTTGCTTGAAGCTCTCACTTCTATGGGAAAGAGATCTATTGCAATCTGTTATGCTGATTAGACTCACTGTCAAGGCTACTAAAAGGCACAATTGTTTATTTGTTTGTTTATTTAGTGTAAACATTGACTGGGTTGTTAGCTCTGTTTCTTATTAAGGTTTCCCAGCAAGTCCCTTTCTAAAACTCTGTTTCCCAAGTGTTTGCCAAATTTGAACCATCTGAGGTGCATTTTGCTATGACAACATCTCAGAAGATTCAGATGTTCCAAGAATATGGCCAGTTTAAAAATTAAAAATAAAAAAATGCTGGTGAGATTTGGCAAATTCCTTTCTTAGCAGATCCAGTGGCCTTGGGTTTTAGAAAAGCAACTTTTCAGGGATGCAACTGAACGTAATAAGACACTTCTTCCACTTGAGCAGTTAAAAGTCCCAGAGGGGGACACACATGGCACATGCTTTCTGCGTGTGCCCAGATCCTGTGTAAGTGGTACATGCAGCCACCATAGCTCAGGGCGAGAGGAGAGAAGCTGAGTCCTGCCTGGAAAGGCAGCTCCCAGTGTGGGGAGCAAGGCTGGGGGCACAGGAGCTGACAGCAACGGGGCTGTCAACGCTGCGTTCGCACACCATGACGTGCGGTACTGAGCAGCACCCGGGCAGCGTGGAGGAGGAAGCTGTCTCATTAAAATTCAGAGGTAGCAAAGCCCAACCAGAGAAGGAAATAAAGTATGAGACTGGGAGGAGGAAGCTGGTGAAACTGGGAGTGACTGGGCAAGGAAATTATGTTCACTGTTGGTGATTTAGATTTAATTAGCTGATTTCCCCCCCTCCAATTCCAATTCCCAGCACCTCCTGTCAGTTATAAAAACAAGTCCATTTGGTTCATTAAAAATGTGTGTTTCTGTACATTTGAGGCATTTGGGAGTTCTTAGAATAAAAGAGCATGGAGAATATTTTGAATTTTTAATAATGGGATCCCTTTCAACATGCACAGTGATGGACTGAAATTGTTCTGTGGTTGAAATTAAATGAGAAGGCAGGGGGGCTATTATTTATATCTTAGTTATCATTGCTTTTCTGGTTGGATATTACTTCACTTGAGAGATTTCTTTCAGTGACTTCAGTGCTTGGGAAATTTTGAATTTTATTTACTAATTTAGTGTGAGGCATGTATTGTTTTTATCTCTAAGATAAGTTTCTGTTTCTTCTATCAACACAGAATTTTCTGCCTTTGGCTAATACAAAAACCAGCTTTTAATTTTGTATGGGTTGCTCTGCAAAACTCCCGGGTTTTTCTTCTCAAATAGAAAGAAAGAAAGCACCTTAAAATGTCACAAATTTTAGTCGGTTTAAAATCATGCTACAGCATGTTATTCAGATTCACTAACTTCAGTCTGATATAACAGTGCTTGAATAATGTGAATTTCACTTCAACTTAATTAAACAAAGGCATAAGCATTTCAGGAATGATTTTGATGCAGTCTGGATACTTAAAGCCTCATTGTAATATTACACACAAATGAGCATGCAAAATGTCACTTGAAAAACACTGATTTAGGTACCTAAGTTGTAGAGGCAATTATCTATTTGTATACATTGGTGCTGTGTTTAAGAATACAAAATATCTGTGTATCTGCTGGAGACCCATTGAGAGAAAATGGCTCTTCAAAGTGATTTTGCAGCCTTTATTTAAAATACAGAGCAATGAAATTAAGACCCAGAAATATGAAATCTTGATAGCAGAAGATCAACATTTTCTGTTTTATTAGTTAAATGGGAGTATAGGAGTCTGAAAAATCAGAGGGCAGCATTGTGTGTATGCATGCATAATTTTTAAACTTCTTTATTCAGAGTGAAGCTAAAAGGAAAAACAGTATCAGATAATATGTAGTATATCAATGTAAAGAAGTTTTCATCATGCAATTTTCTCAGCTCACAATGGCTCTTCAGTTCATTTGACCCCTGCCATTAACACAGCTAGCAGAAGTAAATATGGGAAAGTTTCCATCATACAACATGTGACTGAGCTATTTTTGCAAACACAGCCCCCCAGACACACTTTCAGCCCCACCTGAGGAAGATTCGACATGATAGGGCTGGGACAGTGACAAACTCAGTTATGTTAAAGACACTTGAAAATCACACTGGTTTTTCCCACGTATTACCATATAGCACTGCCTCTGTTATCTGGACCAGAAATATTTCATTTCACTACATCACAATCTTGTAAGACAGCCCTGTCATTTTAATTTGTCACTCGTTGGGTTCTATAGTACACCGGAGCCTCATCTCCCCAGCCAAGTGCCATAGGCTACTGTTCAGAAGAGAAATCTGTCACAGAGAATAGCAAAGGTAAACACCACCAAACAGAAAGTTTATGCCTGAAATCACCACTCAGGGCTCTGTCCCCACAGGCTTAGCAGGTGGTATAATCGCCCCAAGCCGAACTGCAGAGATCATAATTTCAGCTGCAGTACGTATGCACGCATCTCTGCTGCTGTTGCCTGCCTCTGCTGCCATCCCCGTGCAGCAGTGTCACTCACAGGAGGCAGCAGGAGGGATGGAAGGGGATGAAATGAATGGGGACAAGGGATGAAATGAAAGAATGGGTGGTAGGAGGGAGGTGTGATTGACATGAGGCTGGAGCCTGAAAACAGCTCTGGGAACTCTGGAGTAGATCTGACAGAAAAAAAAGTCTGATAGAAAAATAAAGATTAAGAAGAAGAAAACATCTCCAAAACAACCCAGCAGTTCCAGATCACTGGTGCCAGCACTTTAAGCCTTTTCCCAAAGAAGGCACTAGTTGCACAAAGCAAACACCACCATGGGTCTGTCAGGTTTGTCTGCAGCACCAATATGATGAATCTTCATTACACTGAGAGAGAATAGAAGGGAGTGAAGACAGCAAAGCCTCAGAGTTTGTTTACTTCTTAAATGCAGAGACAGCACAGCACAGTTCTGCCTTCCCTGACTTAGATTTTTGGCTTCCCCTTTGGTCCACCCCCACCGAAGCAATTAATCAAAATAAATGAGGCAGCAAACATCTGATAGTAGCTGACTTCAGATTGCAGTACATTAACTGTCTGCTGGATTTTCATTTACCATACTGCGCAGAATGCACTCTAGGCTTTACTCCAATGTTTTGAAGTATGCGTTATTGGTAAAATACAGACTAGCATAAGGGAGTAGCTGATCTTTGGTTTCATTGTTTATGGTTTTTGGAATATCTATATATTTGTGCAGCTCTAAAGAAACTGAGGTAGTTGTTATCAATTATACCAAACCTTCTTTTACTTTTTTATGATAGGTGAGGAGGCAATAAAGTAAGTGATAATTAGCCCTCTCATAAGCAAATGTAAATCAGAGAATCAGACAGAAAACATCTCAACCTTAAGCATAAGTAAGCTCTTTTTATTAAAAATTGGGAATTTCCTGTGAAGCACAAGAGAGACCAAATATCTTACATCAGGGTTGAAAAAAAAAAAAATCTATTCCTACTTCTACAACAAAGTCACTTATTTAGGACAATAGGTAATAAAATTTTGGAAATGCAAAACTTAGAGGAAAAAGGTTCTGTTTAGTAGTTCTTCCAAACAGTTTTCTGTAAGTAAAGCAGAAAAGATTTTCTGGTGAGGCATTCTGGGGTTATTGGTTTTAATTTGACTAGAACAGTTTATTGATAGAGTTGCAGGTGGAGTTGCTGTCCATTGCCTTTTGGTAAGTCATCTGGTATCCTCAGAGCAAGGTAAACAGAGAATAGCTGTGAAATGCCCACACCTAAAATGGCTTCAGGAGTCAGAGTGCAGATCTTGGCCTCTGAGAAATCCTAGATAATGAGCACAGGCTGTTTTCTCTTGCCCTGTCCCAGGTGGTTTGGCTTTATTGGAAGCCCACCCTAGAAAAAAAAGAGACATCAAATAAACTATAGCCTTTATTTCTTCTCCATGACTGATCCCTGGATTTTTGCTATAAGCTTTGTCATCCAGAAGAGCCTTCAAATCCCTAGTGCGGCTAATAAGACCTACCTGCTAATATGACTTAAAAGTAATTAAAGAGCACTTCTGTGCAAGATTTAAGTGCCTGATGTAATGACTCAACAGTGTCCTTATGTAGATTCCTAGGATCACTGTCCTTTTATAACAATTTATAATTGAAAAGTTTCTGAGACTGAGTGTTCAGGAGCTTTCAGTATCAATTTCAAGAGGTAAGTTGGCAAATTTTTCTAAGAGGTTATTATAAGCTTAAGAAAAAGGCATGAAAATGAAGTCAAGACAAGCAAGAGATGAGTTTGGAAAGGACATACATAGGCAGGGATGCAAGAACAGTACCTCCTATTTTACAAAGGGGAAACAGAAGTTTCAGTGATTTCATCAAGGTGACAAAAGGAGTCACTGATAGAATGAAGAATTATAGCTGAGGTGTTATGAGCTGGAATGACCCACACAGCTGGGGGGAATTTGGCATGAAATGTCATTTCATTTCAATAGACTCTGGCTAATTAATTACCCTTTAACACCTTTGAAAATGAACCCCCAGTGCTTGAAGGATCAGACCATGCCTTGCTCTGATTTAGTTTACATTTTACATTCTGAGAACAATGTTTAAATATAAAAAAAAATAAACTCAAAAATCTAGCAAAAATGGTGGCTGAATCCTAGCTCCCTTTCCAGCAGAGCATGGCAGATCCGCATTCTTCATTCGTGCTTCTGTGACCAGATTCATGCCATGCACCCAGCTCCTGGTGCCCTGAGCATGGCTGGTGGGATGCACAAATATCCCTACCAGAGGCAGAATAAACCCTGTACTGGAAAGAAATTCAAAGTAACGCCCCGTTTTCAGTTCTGTCTCCCCCACTCAGTACCAGTTTGAAAAGCAGACCATGGGGATGTGCTGAACAGCAAGGGCTACAGAGGCTTGAGTACATTGTGTGTTTCCATCTTTCTTTGCCTCTCTTACACTTTATGCTCTGTAATTATTCTGACAGGGATGCTGTTTTTTTTTTAGCAACTGTGAACTATATTGTATAACTATATTATGCATGTTAAAATATTAAATGCTTAACTGTTTGTTTGTATACCTATGAAACACTCTGTAGCAGGATTAGGCTGGATCCCTAAAGAGTCATTAACTTGCATTATATTGAAGTATTTATTATTGTGGCATATGTAATGGATAATATTTGTTTACATTTTTAATTACTCACATTTTCAGCCAAGAAAATCTCTAAGGATAATGTCTCATTTACAAGTGTCCTGGCAAAAGACAACATAATGTAATAACACATTACCAACAATTCCATGACAACCTTGCAATGGTTTAAATAGGTATTTCAAGTAAAGACATAATTATGGTAAACTATAAAAAATATATATGCACAACATACTGTTGCACTGCAAAACTGAAATGAAGGGGAATTTTCCCTAGCTGCTCTGATTTTGAGCTTGTTCCACAGCTCTTCAAAGCTGAGAGAAAAAATTCCATTTCTACCAACACTCTCTCGCTACAAATAGTGGAGCAAGTAACAGGCAGCGAGCGTCTTCAGAAGATCCCAGTATATTGAGTACTATGATTTGGACTGGGAAACTGTTTTTTTTTGTTTGTTTGTTTTGTTTTGTTTTTCCATTTTTTTTCTTTTCTCTCAGAAAGTGAGTAAGTACATAAATAAAAGGAAATTGCACTTAATTAAATGATAAGAAATTAATTTTAAAATTTAAGGAAAAGTTTCTCTTTTGCAAAGTTTTCTGCAGCAGCAGAAGTTGCAGTAAACTGTACTTGGAAGATAACCTCTCCCTGTCATAGTAAGCCAATGAATGAGCTGCATTTGCCCACAGGTGTTGTTCAACCATGAAGTTCTTTGCAAGTTTCTCAGAATTATCAATTGCAGAGAACCGATCCTGCAGGAATCAATAGCCCTTTGTCTCAAACAGTTTCAATAGTCCATAAAACAGATTTTTGGTAATCATATGTACAAAAAAAAACCACTTTGGAATATTATATAAAAATAGTTATTTGTACCTTTGTGGAGAATCAGCAATTGTGGGACAGAGAATTTCAACATAGAAATAGTAAGAAAATATGTACTTTGGTATTGTGAGGAATACAATTTTGGAAAATATCCTGAGAGCAAGCTGAGCAACACAGAGACTTTTGTGAACTGAGTCAAATCTTGCATCCCTTCATTTGCAAGAAAGTTTTCTTTGTGCTTATTAGGGAAAGAGTTCCTCCTCCCTTGCTTGCCCATCCCTTTGCTCCTTCTTGGTAGCACTTCTAGACTTTATGGGAGATTTTACCACATCAATATTCTTCTGCCTGAGGGGTGTTACCAGGCAAAATGAGCATATGTCCTGCAGTGCCCTGCTGGCAGATGGCATGGCCTGGGTTCAGAGTCCACTGCAATCTAGCAAAGAGTGAAGGCTAGTGGGAGGTGAAGCTTGAGGGTTCTGAGTGCTTCAGCTATGTAGCATGACTAAGACAAAAAAAAAAAAAATGACTAAGCACAAAACAAAACATTTAAAAATATTCCTAAGAACCTAGTAAAAGTCATTTCTCTTTGGGCTGTGTTTTCATTTCACTCTGTTGCTTATGTTAACATAACATAAAAATACAAATCTTCCATCTGGAGAAGCAGATAAAATAGCCTCTCTTCTTCTTAGGTAGATAACATTTTTAATTCCTGTGTCATAATGTACCTTGATATTAATCTGGACTACCAAACCCAGCTATTTAGCTTTTTTTATAATGTAATTTTGAACTTTATACAGAGAAGCAGACCTGTGCAGCTAAAATATCTTTGCAGGAAACCCTCTCTTTAGTTGCCTGTATTTATTGGAAGAAAACAGTCCAGCAGAATAAAACAAGGAATTCTTGTCATAATTTCAATAAAAAGATCCATGCACTAAGTTCAGATCTTTGTTGATGCAGTGGAAGGAGTGTATGCCATGCTGCTTTCTTAATATCTTTGAAATCATACTAATGTCTTAAAAAGAGTGTGTAATTCTAGCATTAATTAATTCTAACAGAGTTTAGTTTGCCCAGTGAGAGGAACATAAACCTTTAAATTGCTATATTGTAGAAGTCTCCAAGTCCCCAGCCAACAGTAACATTTGATGTGTATCATGTCAAATGCAATTCTTCAAAATTAGCTTGATTAAAAATAAGTAAAGTTAATGAATTTTCCAAAAAGCAGTGTTCTCTAGAAGGCATATTAAAAAAAAAAAAAAAAAAAAAAAGCCCAGTTTAATCTTCATAATATAACTGTCTCTGGTATTTCTGTCATTTGGTAATGCTTCCAGACACATTCATGGAGGTCATCTTTGATCATATAAATTCAAGAGATTCCAAGGCTTTTTCTATTTGCATAAAAAACAAAGAAAGCATTGTCAGAAGTCCCCAAATATGCATTTTGAATCAAGTTTCACCTAAATGCTATACAAAGACTCAGTGTCTTGATGCTAATTTATTGAAAATGCCTTGGCCTTTAGGAATTTCCCATTGGCACTTAGTATAGCTGAACTCAAATGGCAACAGCAAAAAGCAGCCATCAAAACTGTGTTCATGCTGACATCTAAGCCCTAGTGCTCAAGTTATGAGTGCCCTGAAACAAAATACTGTAGAAGGAAAAGCAAAACATAAAAAATGCTTTAGGTGCCAAGATTTCACTTGTAAGGGTTGGAGGGTAATATATATATATATATATTTATTTAAAGTGAAATCTAATGTGCTAAAGACTTAGCACAAAGAAATGATTTAATTAATGTTATGTAAAAGGTTTGATGTTTAATGCACAGCTCTGCAGTCAGTGTTTTATATCTATAATTTGTGCATATCCATAACCATATTTAGATTTCGACATATGGTCTGTAAATAACATATGTAAGCAAGATCGTTGAGTGAGATGATTTTTTTTCCTGCTGAATGTATGTGTTTATTTTATGAGCAGAGACGTGAAAAGTTCATTCATGTCAAAATGTGTTGCTAAGTATAAACATGCTGCTTCACTTTAGGCAGGATCAGGAAAGACCCTGGGTGTGTAATCTGTGAATTGACTCTATGCTGATGTTGCCCAGGTTTTGTATTACTAAACTATGGCTCACAACAACAACAAAAATTTAACCTTTAAATAGAGGCACCAAAATAATTTAAAACAGATTGGAGGGTTTAAAGGGCTCCAAGAGTAAGCAGCTCATATTTCAGTTCCTCCCCTCTAGGGCCTACCTATTTGGTGTTCAGAGTTCATCTCATATTACAGCTGCTTATGTTCACATTTTCTGTGGTGTGTGGAAGAAATGTCCAAGAAAAGGGAAGAAAAAAAAAAACAACACAAAAAATGTAAAATATACAACATTAAAAATATCTTCCCTAAAACAATGGTTTGGTTGTTATTGGGCAGGGAATAGGACAAATCACCCAGAGGCTTTTAAGTAAGAGATGGGGGGAGGGGAGGAAAAAACAGAGAGAAAGTGCAGAGATTTTCAAGGGACTTTCTGTTTCAGGGGACATTTTTTATTCAAAGTTCTTTCAGGTTATGGAGCCCATTATTTCTTTTTGTTCTTTTATTAAAAATTTCTTTGTAATTCATTTGGTCTTCCTTGCCACCAAGTACAGACAAATAGCAACAGCAAACAATTATACTTTGTGTTTATCACTTTATTCTGTTTTACAGTGCATCTCCGATTATGGAAACAATACATTTTTTGCACCTTGCTTTGGTTACTATTTGTCATGAACAGCCTTTATAAACAATATATTTTCCCGTTTTAATAAAAGGCTAGAGTTGCACTAAATGCGTAGGATGTGATTTGAAACAAAAACCCATCAGACTGCTAGACTAAGGTTACAAGTCCTTCATTTACACCATACCATTTTATAATATGAGTTAAGAAGCCATCCATCTATTTTGTTTTCTAGGCCTACTATTCATACGTAGTAGCCATATATCTCTTTAATTAATGAAATAATTTCACTCATTTCACCAGAATATCTTGCCATGTGGTCTTGCAACCAATGCAACTGCAGTTGCAAACAGCCTACTTTCACCCAACATTGTGTACTATATCCAGGCTCTGAGGAATTTTTCTTCCTTATGTATAATCTATTCCATTTTTCTTTATCCTGCACTTATGCATATGTAAAGATATTATTATGAAGGACCCAATATCCTTTGATGACTGAGTGGAAATCTGGCCCCTTTGAAGTCTATGTGAATTTTGCTTTCAGCTGCAGCAGAAAGAATTTTCCCCAGTCTGCCTAAGTCTCCTTAAGTAAATCATATGATTTGGGTCCAAAAGTAAGGGAATACTGTGTCTGCCAGTGACTGGCAACCTCACCAGTTGCTAGAACCAGATACAAATGTAAAGCCCAAAAGGTGATAGCAGGAATGGTGGATGCCTTCTTGTGGTCCCTTCCTCCAGCCTGCATACAGCCTACTGCATTTCCCTTCTGTCT